GATGTTAGATGTTGTGTTAGCCAATTGTCAATTAAATGCTTTTACTTATACTTCTTAATAGTATCAATATATACTGTGTTGTTGTTGTTAGGCTTAGGATTCTTCTACAGTGGGTGTCTGTGACTTGGTGATAAATTCAACGCTAAATGAACAGCACGCACTTCACTTGTTTCCAAAATAATTTATATATTCGGAACAAGTTAAACGTATGTACAATAATTTTTTTATACTATAGAGATTACAGGCATATCATAGATACTATATATATAGCTCTCTTCTTAACTTGTCAAAAGTCCACTTAGGCCTATTAAATTGCTTTAGAATTTCAGTTTACAAGCCGAACTACCTTTCTTTATTTCAACTCCAGCATTGTTTTTAGTTATCAGTTTCATGCCAATGAATGAAATTAGTTATAACGTAACAAATTTTATCAGTTATAAAATTCACGTCAAAGATTCAAACTTGTTATATTATACCAGAGCTAATTTTTGTTATCAAATTCACGTCAAAGAATCACACTTGTTATATTATACTCGAGCTTATTTTTGTCCTCAAATTCACGTCAAAGAACAGTATGAGTCATAACGTCAGACCGATTTTCAGTTGTCAAATTCATGTCAATGAATTAAATTAGTTATAATGCCAGAAATATTTTCATATATCAAATTCACGTCTAAGGATCAAAGTCTAATAAGCCCATCTGTTACTTTAAGCATATCTAGGGTAATCTTTCATATAAGCCTTGAATCTGTTGCATAATTTATTCCCACATCTAGCCCTAAAGAGCACTCTGAAATGGGCCACGCGTATATTTATACTCTTTGTGTTATCTATTTCTCTTTAAACTCTAGTTGAGTTTGTTGTGAAGTGAGAATCAAAACACTGAAAGTTCATATCATCAATCTTTATTCAGAAAAATAATCATAGTGAGTAACTCAATTCCCAAAACAAGGGCAAGTATTTGTTGATGGTGTGTTGAAAAAGTAAGATCTGAGGGGAGAAATTATTAATATACTTTTCTTTTCAGTTTTACGTGAGCACCCTGTAAGCTACACTAAAACAAAAGTAAAATGTAAAATATAACAACCTCCATAAATTAACAATGAAATATAATATAAGTTCAACTAAATTAGAGCTAACTTTAGCTGTTTTAAAATTGTAAAAAAAATAATTTCAATATTTAAGGGAATATACTTGCTTAACAGACAGTAACCTGGCTTTATACACTACAAAACACGAAAATAACAGAGCCAGGTTATACACGTGATATATGTACACTCACAGTGGTTGGGAAGCCCCTGGCCTTAACACAATTTGCAGGCATAAAAGACAGCCTTCTACTCTGGAACATTATGAGCTATGTTTGTTGCCAAAAAATGCAGTTAATTGTCAATTAGAAATTCGTGACAGATCTAGAATCATGAAAGTTAAATGTGTTTACTTGAATGAATTTTTGTGTCCAAATTGAACTGAAAGAAAATACAGAAATTTCGAAGAATTTACATGATTATCTAAGAGGGTAGAAAACACATGGTACAGTCTTGTACCACATTACCAATGTTCTTCAATTCTAAAAAGTTTCAGTAATTCCTATTACAGTATTAATCCTCTGAATGAGTTCTTTGTACTTTTTAGATGTCTATTCTAAATTTTAATTCCAACATCATTCACTTCTAGTTTTTTAAGATTTTTAATGTTCTCCCTACATTGTGACTCTCCTTGACATGAAATTGTTAATTATTTTGAATGTGTGAATTATTCACATCATGTAACTTGATCCGAAAGAAGTATCCACAATCAGATGAAACCTAAGGTGTAGGGTTAATGGTAGTTTGAAACAATATTAGACCGCCACAAAACTGTGCAAAGAAATTCCGCGATTTGTTTGTTTTTAGTTAAGCACAAAACTACAGAAAGGGCTATCTGTGCTCTGCCCGCCACAGGTATCGAAACCCGGTTTCTAGCGTTATAAGTCTGTAAACATACCGCTGTGCCACTGGGAGGCAATTTCAATATTTATGTCTGATCCTTATAAACGAATAAACAGACACATTTCAAAGGCAAAAAAACAAACAAACAAAAAAAGAACCAGTTATTTTATATTTAATAACACTTGACCCCCTGTGCCATCTTCTTCCCCAAAATAATCGTAGAAACGTCACTGATAACTTCTACATGCACTATAAAAATAAAATGTTCTTGGGTATCAGCAACTAAATTGTCAACATGTTATATAATGGGTTGAAATCTATTAGAGACTATTACCTGAATACTAATTGAACTTGTCTATACATTTTTTTTTGTACAATTGTAGATGTTTCCCGTGAGACAGATTTACAACTCTAAAATCAGGGACTCGATTCCTCTCTGTAGACACAGCAGATTGCCCAATGTGGCTTTGCTATAAACACACACACACACACAAACAACAATAATGCACTCTTATATTAGCACTTTCGTTGTCACCCTCCCCCAAAGTAACCATTACTGTAACTCTCCATTTCCTCTCTTGTTTCTTGCTCCTAACCTTTTAGTTTGCCCCCTTTTGATAGCTTGGTCTTCTCCAAAGCTATATCTAACTTATCCTGAAGTAAACAAGATTCGATAGTTATATATTACATAAGAATTGTCCTCGACGGCTGGGTATGAGATAACACTTCTTGGCACTGGAGCACTTATATCCACGTGAAAATTAATTTTGAAAAATAACCCTTAAGCTGTTTTTTTAAATTTAATCATGCCATCTAACCTATATAAAAGCTAGTGTGTGCCACATCACATCACGTTTGGTTTCTCGAAATAAAAGGAGTTATAAAAAGCCAAAATGCATTTATCCAGATAGTATAGTTCGATTACTGTGTGCTCATTACGATTTTAATGACGGGAGTGCAAGGGGATTGTGTGGGGGTGTCGTGAAACCTTATAAGTGTAGTGAGTGTTGGAATCCCCTAGCCTAGAGCCAAGTGCATAGAATTTAACATGAAAGTAAAAATATCGACTCAGTTTTAAACTTAAATCATTTCTGAATTAAGCTATTTTCTGTTATATCACCAACATTTTTCATAAAAAAACCTCTTTAATCAACGGAGATTCTAAATTAAGAAATCAGCAAATATTTTTCCAGTTTTGTAGTCTATACATTTTATAGTACATAGTACATAGACTAACAACAGTAATAGATGCTGGAACGTAGTGTTACCAAAATGCACTGGCTTTTCTATATATTAGAAGTTGTTAATCAACTTATTTTTACCAATGATTATTTTATGAATACGCCACCAATTCATTTCATGAATGACCTTAATTTTGATTGGCTTAGAAAGGAATTTACCGGCGTTTGACTTCCTCGACTGCACTTTTATTCTTCTTTTTTGGTCAACCTTGATTTCGCAAAATTTATTTATTTCGGTTAGCTATCAAATGTGAGGTTAGGCTGAAATATGGGGTGGGGGTGGTAGTACTTGCCCCGTCACTTTTGACAGGCTATAGGCTAGTTTGTAATATAGTAGGGGTGAAATAATTACTAATACTAATCCGCCTTTTTCTTTCGAAATAATGAAAATTCTAAGAACCTAAGACTGAAAATAAAGAAAAGCGTATTATGTCAACCACACTACATATACCACATCCAGTGCTGAGGTATTTCACCCAGTACCTGAGTCATCAGACCAATTGGAATACGACAGAAAAAGTAATGGTTGAGATGATATTTATTGCATGAACAAAAACTGTTATGGTGTGAACTTAATCAAGTTGGCGAAGTGTATTTTATAATAATTTTATATGACTCAGTTACAAACAAGAATTGATTTGTTTATGTTTGTTAGTTTCAGAGCACAGATGCATTGGGCTAGCTGCTTTGTCCACCGCGTTGTCCACTACCCATTGTCTCACCGGTGGACAACAATACCAGGAGTAACGATTAATAATACAATATTATTTACTTCTATTAACATCAACTATTTATTATTATGATTTGTTTTGAATTTGAATTAATTTTACTCATCATTCAGAAGAACTAGGAAATCAGAAAGCTAGTCTTATGATTACAAACTGTGTTTTCTGACAATCTAGTTAACTATATCAGCACTTAAAGTATTTGTTTATGGTTAAGCACAAACAACGTGTGGCTACCACGGGTAGTATTGAAACCCGATTTTTAGCGTTACAAGCCCTCAGACTTATCGCTGAACCATTTATGGGGGGGGGGCACATCAAGTGAAGAAGTTGGGTGATTCCTAAAAGTTCTCATATCCATTTAAATCTGTGCAGGAAATGATTTATATTGTACTTGTTTTGTTTCTGATTACTGCTGTTGACAAAATAATAGAAAAATGGGCCTTTATATCGTACTTCGATATAATATTAACGCTACGTGTAAAATTAATTTATAAATTTAATCTATGTGAGTAAGCCTATAATGTTACCGACAGACATTTAGACACTGCATTGAAGATATTAATATAAAACAAATATATATATATACCCTAATAATTTTGATATGGATATGCATTTTTCAGCAACTCGCCATCTTTAAGAAGGCAAATAACTACCACGTCTAAATCAACCTTTCGATTCACTTCAAATTATACTTACCATTTCAACTTATGATAAATTTGTCACAAAAATTAAAATAATGACGGTTTTAATTAATTGAGCAAAACTAAATGTATGTGATTTGGTGAAGTTTGTGTTCTGTAGTTAATGTTATTTGGGAAATAAATATTCAAGTTTATTAACTTAATATAATATGATTTTTTTTACATAATTTTTTTACACTAAAGTAAATTCAGTAAAAGTTGATCCAATCGAAAATTATCATTAAAACCAAAGTTTCTATCGCTTCTTCATATTGATAAAAATGACTGAGAAGTAAGTAGTAAATAATTTGGTGCAAATATTTATTGATAGAGACTGTTTTTATTATGTCTATCATACAACAAAGACCGCAGTGTAATCTTATTATTCACTTTTAATTAGGACATGAGATTCTGATGAAAACAAATTAAACAAGGAAATATTTTATACAATAGGCTTTTACACAAGAGAGGTTCATAAGTGAATTTCATTTGCGATTTCTGAAGACTGTAGAAGGCAGGTAGATTTAGTTATTAAAGCATTTCATTTAGGACACACTGTAGCAACATTTTTCAGCGTAAAAACGCTAATATTATATGTTATTCTATTAGCTGCTATTTGTTAGATCAGTTCACAGTTTTGGGTGATGAAAATAAATTTAGTCTTTCTTAATGGACTTCAATAGACTTTCGTAGGGATAAAGCATCGACAGGAACATTTTCGGCTACGTAAGAAGACAAGCCTCTGGCAAAAATAGGGCCTGTAATGGCTGAAACGTGAGGAACTGGGATATCACTGCTGTAGGAAAATCCGTCAAGTGCTCCACTCTTAACAGCATACGCAGCAGGCTCAGCTACAGCTACACCACCAACAGCTCCAACATCAGAAGAATAGGAATAACGATTCACAGCAGGACCAACAGCAACAGTTGCTCCAACACCACGAATACCATATGCAGGGCCAGCAACTGCAACTCCATCAGCATGTCCAACTTCAGAAGAATATGAATAACCCTTCACAGCAGGTCCAGCAACAGAACTCACACCAACACCATATGCAACAGGGCCAGCGACTGCAAGTCCACCAGCATGTCCAACTTCAGAAGAATATGAATAACCCTTCACATCAGGTCCAGCAACAGAACTCACACCAACACCATATGCAACAGGGCCAGCAATTGCAACTCCATCAGCATGTCCAACTTCAGAAGAATATGAATAACCCTTCACAGCAGGTCCAGCAACAGAACTCACACCAACACCATATGCAACAGGGCCAGCAACTGCAACTCCATCAGCATGTCCGACTTCAGAAGAATAGGAATAATCACTCACAGCGGGTTGATCAACAGTAATTGCTCCAGGGGTTCCAATAGCAATAGAACCAACACCTCCAACAGCAATGGCACCTGCATCATGCCCAACTTTAGAAGAATAAGAATAACCTATCAAAGATGGGTCTTCAACAGCAAGTGCATCATGGGCAGCAACTCCATGTCCTACTTCACTGGAATATGAGTATCCATTGATGGGAACACCTTTAACAGCAACAGCAGCTGGATCACCAACAGCAGCAGGGACAGCAGTGCCATGGGTTACTTCACTAGCATAAGAGTATCCGTTAATGGGGTGACCTTCAACAGCAACTGGACCTTCAAGGGTAGCAGCAGCAGGGGAAGCAGCTCCATGAGCTACTTCACTGGCATAAGAGAATCCACTAATGGGTTGACCTTCAACAGCAACTGGACCACCAATGCCTACAGCAGCAGGGGCAGCATCTCCATGGCTTACTTCACTGGCATAAGAGAATCCACTAATGGGTTGACCTTCAACAGCAACTGGACCATTAATGCCTACAGCAGCAGGGGCAGCAACTCCATGGTTTATTTCACTGGCATAAGAGAATCCACTGATGGGATCACCTTCAACAGCAACTGGACCACCAAGGGCAGCAGCAACAGGGGCAGCATCTCCATGGCTTACTTCACTTGCATAAGAGAATCCACTGATGGGATCACCTTCAACAGCAACTGGACCACCAATTCCTACAGCAACAGGGGCAGCACCTCCATGGCCTACTTCACTGGCATAAGAGTATCCACTGATTGGGTCTCCTTTAACAGCAACTGGACCACCTACAGCAAAAGCAGCAGCAGCTCCATGACTTACATCACTAGCATAGGAGTATCCACTAAAAGGGGTATTTTCAACAGCAACAGCAGCAGGAACATCAATGCCAGTACTATGAGCAACATTGGTTGAATAAGCATGACCTTTGATTTCACCACCTACAAATACATCAGTTCCTAGCCCTTGAACAGTATATCCAACATCTAAAGGACCAGCTGCAGCAGTTCCATGAGCAACTTCAGTGGAATATTCATGACCTTTGACCTCACCTCCTTCAACTACAACAGCATCTGGTCCAGGAAATGCATACCCAGCAGGAGCAGCCACCACACGTCCATGAGCAACATTCGTTGTGTAGGCATGACCTTTAACTTCTGCTCCTTTTAGTGCTATAGCAGCTGGACCATAGACAGTATATCCAATGTCAATAGGACTTGCTACTCCTTCACTTTTAACTGTATAGCCTGTAGCTTGGGCTTCACCTTCCAGTGGTTTTCCAGCAAGGGCTCTATAAGTAATAGTTCCTCCAGGGATAATTGCTCCTCCATGAGTGATTCCTGTTTCTACACTATAACCTTCCACTTTTCCTTCACCTGACAGGGAAACAGTGGCCGGGGCGGAGAGTAGAGTATAACCAGGCTTGACCTTAAAACCGTGAGGCAAGGCTAGGCAAGACGTCAATAGAAAGGACAACAAAATCTGTTTGGAAAGAAAACCAAAATATACTGTGTTATATAATTATGATAACTCTATACTAGAAATGATCACATTATGAGTAAAATGAGAAGTAATGGTAATTGAGGTTTGAAACTTTAACATTATTACTCAATTTGCTAATGTTTTTATGCATAGCTCAATATTTGTGGGTTCTACTGTCACCCACCGTAGGTAAGATGATCTAAGACATATGTGATATTCCCACACACACACATAAGATTAATGAATATCCATCTATCTATATGCACACGGATACATATATAAAGAGAAATTAAACTGTTTGATAGAATAATTTCCTCAAACAGACTTATGTATATGTTAGGTTAAAACAATAGATTCCCCAGTACTTACAATCGGCTTCATTTCTCTGAATTTGTGTTCTTCTCCAAAGTGGAGAGAGATCTTAGAGAATAAAGGGAAGCAGTAGGTTCTGTTTGGGTGCTTGGCCAACACCTCTATTTATAGCAGAGCCACTTTCTCATAAGGGGAGGTGCATAAACAGGGATTTTAGTTTAAAGAATTGTGACGTAATCATACGTCAAGATGTAGAGCATTTTGGTGAGTTATAAATTTGGGACCGTTATTGGACCAGGCGGAGCACTTTCTCGGGCCGTCCAATGTGGGTCAAGACCAGTTGTACGGCTGTGCTGGTCGCCAACAGCCACGGAAGAACTCGAAATAAAAAGCTTCAGTGTCGTCGGTTTTCGTTTCGCGTATTGTAGCCGCGCATTTTAACCTTGTCAGTCCGCTAATGAATTCGCTTATATAGGTCACGAGTGTTCAAACGAAAGTCTAAGAGAATACGTTATACTTTTCCAATCGCAATGAATGGGTGACTCTTCATACCTAACTAATCATATTAGACTTTCTCACTGATGTAATTTCATTATTAGCGTTAAGCCTTATCTGACACGCACAGTGGTCCTCATATAGCATATACATACTCATCTGTTATTTCAGTTTTGTCTCTTTCTCTTCCCATCAAACTCCGTTGAATTATATTATTTAACCAACCATTGTATCTATCCCTGTTTCGGAACATATTAATAACGACTTGTGACTTATTAAGTATTTATCTTTTAAGAAAAAAATCAACCAACCAACCAACTTACCTATATATCTATATGCAGGGACTTTACAAGTTTTTACATAATTCAGTGTCATTCGTACAGAGGTAGAATAGAATTATTTTATTTTGTAGCTGTACAAGTTTGTTTGTTTGTAGTTAAACACAAAGCTACACAAAGGGCTATCTGTGCTCTGCCCACCACGAGTATCGAAACCCGGTTTCTAGCGTTGTAAGTCCGCAGACATGTCGCTGTGCCACTGGGGGGCAGCTGTACAAGAGGAATACATAAAACTATCGTTTTATTAAAAACCACCTTATTCTGAAATGTAGGTTTGAAAATTTTAAAGACAAAAATAAGAAACCTTATAATCCAAGCGCGTTCAAAAGTGCTTTGGTTGCAGGGTCTTTTATTTTTGTCTTTCATTGATTTTTGAAACCTACGAGTTTTCTTGATATCATGGCTGAAAATCAGAGTAATTCACAGTTTGTACATTCTTGGTGATGTTAATGAAATGCCGTACAAAAAGGAGAAATAGGGAATCAAGAAAAATGAATATCTCTCGCAATTTTTATAATACTGGTCTAAGAACAAAGACTTTAAAATGAATAGCCTTGAGGTGTCCTTGGTCCAGACCTCTAACCTAAACGGTGTGGAAAAACCTTGGTTTTAAACCGTTAGATAACTAACAATGAAATTATGAGCAGAATTATTTATTTTGTCTCTCTTCATATCTTGAGATGAACGTTTGGTTTTTCAAATGGTTTTTTTTAGTTAGTTCTTTATATAAGTAGATCTAACCACTACTAAGACTATTTAAACATTCAGCATGAGGTACAAGCATTCTCACTATTTTAATTCTTTGTAGATTTCCCAAAACATGTTGAAATTTTACTTCTTAATCACTGGGTTATTCAAAAATATATCATAATTAACAGATATCTTATTTGAGAATTGAAGGTTTAAGTTCAACCAATCGAAAAACAAAAATAGTCTGCTACTTCTAAAAATAAAGTAAAAAGCAAATGAAGAAGTATTTACTTTTTCTTTTAATTTTATTAAATAAAAAAAACACTCGTAACAATATTTACTTGGACGTGGAAGTACCTTAGCTGAAAAATCTCCTAAAGGCTCAGCAGTAGGCTTGAGGGCTTATAGTATTAATTCTGGGTTTGACCTCCGTTACGAAGAGAGCGCCGAAGGCTCATTGCGTAGCTTTGACCAAAAATGCAAATTCAGTTGGGAAATGTTAAAACTATATATTTTTATATTGTTCTGTTTCGTATATAAATGCCGTACAATTCTTTCTAGCGAAACCCATTAAAAATAGTTTAACTGTGGTTAAAGTGTAAAAAAAGTGTGTTCAACTTGTCTGGTTATAGTTTGACAGACACGTTTTATATTCTGAAAACAATGAGTGTCTGATATTGATACTATCTAACAAACAGTAACTAATATGATCTTTATATTAAACAAGTAATAAATAGGATAAGGTAAGCATTCATTTTCCTGGATGTCTTGCTTTCAGTAAAAGCTGTAGAAGATTGATTTTAACTCTCGTATGGTTGTACATAGCGCCCTCGTGGAGGCGAAAAATATTAAACTGTTAATTACGGTATATTTACAGAAACTAAAGTAACTCGAATAATCGAATGGTGGAAAGGACAAGTAGCCTAACAAACAGTCTTAATCAAGTAAAGTTATAAGACTCGAATTATTTATTCATAAACAATAAGTTGCTAAAAAATTATTCGTGAAGTAAATTGTAAACTTTAGTCTATGAAACCTTCGATAGTACTTAACAAACTTAGATGGGCAATAATTAATACTTTGTTAGTCTTACACTTTAAACATGGTCGCTGCTTTGATCTTTAAACTAATGGGCACACGTTATCTGTTTTTTAACCCAATTACACAAGGTAGTAAGGAAGTAGAGAAATTTCAATTCAGAGTAGATCAAGAATTCACCAGACTATTTAAGACAAGAAAAACTACTAACATTAACAAGTCATTCCAATTATAGCAGAAGAACAAACACTAACAGAAAAACAAGTTATGAAATCGTTCTAGTTACAGCATAAGAAAAACTATTGCTAAGAGAACTAAATTCAGCTACTTGTAGCACAAGAACAACCAGAAACAGAAAACCAAATTGAGATAAAAGATATAAGAAACAGTTTTTTAATATGAAGAATTTGTTTCAATAACATGGAAAAACAATGCTTTGAACCTTAGTAGTGGGACATCTTCTGGTTATCATTTCAATCAAACAATATATAGCAGATTTAAATTAAAATCAACATATGAATTAATAACAAAATTTATAGGTGGCATTAAAATAATAAAATAAGTAAAGGTATTTTTGATAAAAAGGATAACAATATATAAATGAATTAAGTTATGATAGAGAGGAGAACCTGAATAATTATTTAATGTTTGATTCTTGTTGTTGTTTTTTGTTTTGTTTCTATTAGCATTTTTTGTCCGTTGAGATAAGGCTCAGTTTTAATCATTTCTTTTTGAACTCTTCAGTTATCTGTTTGGATTTTGACAGGAAAATCTGTAATGGAAAAGAAGCTATGAATATTGTGATAGCACTAATTAGCAGTTCCGGGAATTCGCGACAGGCCGAGCAAGTTGGCGATGGATCAATCAAAAAACATTAATCTTGTCTCAATATATATATATATATACCCAGAGAAAAACACCTGAGATACCTCGAATGAGGTGGGTAAAAGGAATGAAAGATGATCTTGAAAGGAGAGGAACATCGACTACAATGTTTGAAGATAGGACAGTGAGAAGAAAATTGATAGGCACGGCGAGTGTCAAGACTTAGCCCTAATTAACACTGGTGAGACTGTAATAATTTTTAAGATTATTTTCAGGAACAAGATATTTACTTTCCTTAAATTAAGATGTTGAAAAACATGTGATCTGAGTCCTGGTTTCTGTATAATTAAGGTATTTTAGTCAATGTTGTTCTTCAAAAGTTGTTTCATTACGTTAATTAGATTCTTACTGACTTGCTTGATGTAAGGAATTGTGGTAGTGATAAGGTTGAAATTATTTTTATCCTATGAATCTCCATTGTGTTGTACTTTGACATTTTCGTTGTTATAATTAGTTGTGTTGGTTATTCTTTTAACAGTTTTTCTTCCGGATAGCTGTCCAGAATATTTTGTAGTTGATTATTTAATTAAGGTCTTTTGTACGGAAATATCAAATGCTTTGTTTGTAGTTAAGCACAAAACTACACAATGGGCTATCTGTGCTCTGCCCACCACGGGTATCAAAACCCGGTTTCGAGCGTTGTAAGTCCGCAGACATACTGCTGTGTCACTGGGGCTAATATCAAATGCTTTAAAATATCTAATTATTGTTGAAATAGGATATGCAGAATTTCAGTTGAGGTGAATGTCTATTGTTCGTTGTTTTCCCATTAGTCTTCTGGTGATGCGAACGTTAAAAATGTTGATGGAGGAATTTTCTTCATATTCGATTGAGAAATGGATTTGGAATGAATATTATTAATGTGGTTTAAGAAATATTATTTTTCGTTGTTAGAGATATAATCCTAAAGCAGTGTAAGGGGATGAAAAATGGCCTTTTTATTTTCTCGAATTCAATCCAGGAAAACAAATGAACAAAATTATAAAATAATACCAGAAAGAGAGGCCCTACATGGCTTTGTGGATAGGGCACTCGACTCGAAATCTGCTGGTTGCAGGTCCGTACCTTCATCACCGAACATGTTTCCCCTCTCAGCCGTGGGGGCGTTATAAAGTGACGGTCGATCCCACACTTTGTTAGCAAAAGAGTAGCCAAAGAATTGGCAGTGGGTGATGTTGATTAGCTGCTTTCCCTGTAGCTTATCACTGCTAAATTAAGGCCGGCTAGCGCAATTAGCCTTCGAGGAGCTTTGCGCGAAATTCAAAACAAACCAAGCAAACCACAAAAAGAAGGTTTCATCAGTTACTAAATTCAGAACTTCTTAACTCTGCAGATAACCTAAAGTATGAAATGTCAACTTATTAATCGTTTTGTTAAAATTTTGAGTTATGTCACAATATAACAGCTCCGAAAACACCATCAAAAACAGTCGTCCTTTTCTTGAAGCTTTAAAACAGTTACGTACAAAAACACTCGTCGTTGTCTTGAAGCTTTAAAACAGTTACGTACAAAAACACTCGTCCTTTTCTTGAAGGTTTAAAACAGTTACGTACAAAAACACTCGTCCTTTTCTTGAAGCTTTAAAACAGTTACGTACAAACACACTCGTCCTTTTCTTGAAGC